CGGGTGATCTAAATGGCCATGTCGGCATCGAATGGATAGGCTTAGAAAGGGTTCAGGAGGTAAAAAACGATGAAGGAGAGGAGAGATGGTCTCGGCCATAGGCCACGGCTTAGTAGCCTGTAGCACGTCCTTCACAGAAAGGATAAGTCAAAAGGTAATAAAGCTTCCAGACGAAGTGCTTTTCTGAGCACGAAACTACATCTGACTTGTACACCATAATTAAGGTTTTTATAGTCGAGTATCACTCGTCAGTAACAACAATGTGAATTGTGGACAATATATTTTGACACTGGCCAAGTCTATGGTAGTTAGAATACGAACTATGAGGTTTCTTACAGCAAAAGGGAGCTGCAGCAGTGGAGGGAAGCAAACAGAAGTAGACCATGTACTCGTAAGAAGAATATTCTTCAAAAGTGTGAAGGATATCAAGGAACTGTCTAGCGAATGCCTCGTTGCCAGCACAAACCTCTCCTTGCAGACCTTGTCATCGAGCTTCCCAAGAAAACTAAAACAGAGAGGAGGATCCAGTAATGGAGGCTGCACCAAGTCGAAAAAGTAGACGGAAAGTACTGGAAGCTGGTCTCTCAAGCCTGGAAGGATCAATCCAGCAGAACTGCACGACACCGTGAGAGTGATCTCTTGCTTTGAGAGGGAAACGCTAGTGGAGACACGACGTGGATTCGAAGAGTCAAGGACACACGTTTCCGGAACGATGAAGTCTAACGAGTTTTGAGGCAGGAGGCCACCTACAAACCTCAGAAAGGAAGAGCTCTACAAGATCTACCTGCTTACTAAAGTTGCAAGAGGTTCGCCAAGGCTGCCGTAGCAAAGGCGAAGAATACTAAAATGGACGCATTCTACGAGAAGCTCAATGGTCGATAAAAAGAGAAGCTCGTCTTCCGGCTGGCTAAGGCATGGTACCTGACCACTTAAGACACCAGAGTAGTAAGAGCTGTAAAGGACAGCGACGGCACAATTCAGAGGGGGCTTCGTGTGGTCAGATGGAAAGAAATTTTCGGCAGGCTTCTGAACGAAGATTTTCGACGTGAGAGCAACTCTCAGGTAGAGGCAACGGCTGGCTCCAGCGCTCGCTGAGGAGAAGATGAGGTCTGTTGAGCAATAGAGAAGATGAAGGTTGGAAGGCAACTGGTCCGGATGGGGTTCCGATTAGACATAGAAGCCGTTGCCTCGCTGAACACGGGATCAGGTGGCTAGCGTGGACCCTAAACACTGTGAATACAGAAAAAAGGATACCATGCGCGTGGAGGAGCAGATCTATCGTTCCCATTTTCAAACAAAGGAGTACGCAATGTTCCAGCTCGGGGTGTCACGTTGACCTTTCACACGATGAAACTGCACAAGACATTAGTCGACTCAAGGTGTCAAGATTGGAAGAGCTGGTCCTGATCTAGCAGGAGCAAGTCGGCTTCATGGACAGATTGCGTTCGGGGCAGTGTGTCGTGAGGGCGCGTATTCGTCGCTGTCCAGCGTTGCCAACTTGTGGCCAGAAGCCCTTCGGTCGTTGGAGCAGTGCACATCACTACAGTCTGAATCACCCAATCGCAGAAGTCTGTGCCGCGCGCGGTTTGTGCGGCGTGACCTAGTATCGTCGACGATAGGAACGGATTTTCCTCCTCTTCGGCAGGTTTACATGTGATGAGTTAGGAACCAGAGTCAGCATGCAACAGGAATCGATAATTACCGGACTTGATTCAGTACTATGATTTCAATCGATACATTTCAGTTCACGTATCTCATCAAAGCCCGAGGCCGCACTAACAAAAAAGGAAATTACTGCATTTCATGTGAGTTGGTTGAAAGCAGACCATAGCACAATCTACTTCATGAACCATTTTGCTATTTCAGTACGTACAGTTCCAATCCAGAAGATTGAGCCACCCCAAGTTCCCAGCAAGGTAGGAGCTTAAAATATTTTTCAGACTCCATATGCATTGGATATACAGCTGACTGTTATTATAAAACACAGAAAGTTCGCCAAACCTTATAAGAAGTAATCTCGCATTACAGTATCAGGAAGCACCGAGACAACTCGCCGGCAATGAGAAACCAGAGTACCTCTTGTAATTAGTGAAGATCGTATCAGTTGAAGCTCAACACATACTCATCCCAAATTTTTTATTTTTAGAGAATATCTGTACATACATAAGCTAACTTGATATAAATAATGATTATCTTTCAGCTGTATTAGAACTATGTTAATAAAGATTATTGTCCTCATGAAACCCGTAAACAATCACAAAGTCACATCTTTTATGATTATGAAATGCATCGCCCACACTGAACCCGACGGTGTACGAGGTTTTACAGCGGATAGCTGCTTTCATAGTGCACGATTTGACGCGCGAGCGATCGAGCAATCGGCCCTTGTTTGCAACTGAATCTTGGTCGATACCACGGGCAAGCGCCGCCCCAATCGTTTGATCCCTCGCTCGCGGGCCAAATCGTGGACTATAAAAGCAGTCAATGAGCAAATGATAAAGGTGACCGTACAGAAAGACAACAAGACCCTCATTCTGCCTTTTACCGTGAAAAATGAGCAAGAAAAATAGAGCAATTCGATGCAATGGATAGGCCGAAGGTGATGAATTAAAAGTGAACCAAAAGAAATTGACTAGATAACTACTCTACGAAAAGTAAAATCTAGTGGGGCACTCGGCTCTTACGGCAACCCAGTCATGGATCCTGGATAGAACAAGTGCTCCTGATGCAATGCCAAACCCCTGGCTTGAACACCACCCACAAGGTCCCTTTTAAAAGTGTCGTATACGTGACGGGTGAGAAATCTATATTGCAAGGGTTATGCCGTGAAAGAGGATATTCTGTCTGTGTACGTCTGCACACATTGCACATTAACTTACGGTAAGGTTACTGTAGGAGCCGAGTGCCCGTTCTCAATTATCGTTCCTATAACTACTCCTAGCGCTAGGTACGTCTCTTTACCACAATTTGGAAAAAAAGAAAAGAAGACTGCTATCCAGAAGGTGCACGAGGCTCCTCGTTTTGTCCTCTCCGACGTCGTCTTGAAAGCAGTCCGATGATGACCAGAGCAATCGCCAGGGCGACGAGTTCGAGAATGGTCGCCAAGTCGAACACGTCATGCACTGAACGTACTTCAGCCAACACACGGCCTGCACGAACGCATAGCACATTGTAAGGAATCAGACCTGGAATTCGTCAACTTCAAAAAACATTTCAAACACTGTCCCAAAAGTACATAAATAGATCTTGGATAAATGCAGCACGAATATTTGTAGCATGCAATGTGTCATGGAACTGAATCCCTCCGAACTACATGGCAGCTGTTAGTTCCACCGAGCGTTGACCTTTGTTTCCTTGAGATCGCACTAAGGTATGTGGCGATTGTGCAAAGATATCAAAGCGTCAGGCTCCTAAGAATAGCGAGAACCGTTTCTTGGAGCACCAACCAGAATCCGCCCCNAAAAAAAAAAAGTAATTTGGGTAGTGCCCCTTAGAATATTATAGATCAAGTAAGCTTCACATGAAAGCGAGCAGGGACTGAAGTTTCAATTTTGATCTCGTGCTTTGTAAGCTACATCTAGAAAGGCCCAGTGAGTTTCTCTCCAAGTTACGTGGGTGCCATGGAAAGCTTCGTATTTCTGTTGGGTTGTGGAGACGTTTGATTGGGCATACACAGATTGTTTTGACATATTTCGAGGCGATACCTACGAAGCGTTAGCTAATCGAGTTTTAATAACAACCTCGTGAGATAATGCCAATGTTTATGGAAGCCCGTACGCGAAGTCTATAAAGTCACTCCGTTTTTTAGCAGCTGGAAGAAGTATTTAGCTTGGTCGTAATGCCTTGCATCTTTACCTAACGACAAAAGCAATCAAAAAACTGGAACCCCATCTTAAGAGGCCAAATGACCGTTCCTGTAAATGCCACTATTTCCTTCTGTACTTACCAGCAACAAATAAGAGTGCAAAACAATAAAGCAATTAGACAAGCGCTTTTTATGCTTGAGCAAACACTCCCCAGACAGTAGCGAGACCCAGTCACGCCATACCACTATCAAAAAGATACAAGACCGGGGCTTCGTCCAGGAACTAATCTCGACTATATAAAGTGATGAGTTAACTCGAAGTTGAATCATTCTGTGATGAACAAAGGAATCATTGATACCATCAACGTGATTAGATGAAGGCTTGCTCTCCAGGCTACCACTAGCTCTACTGCAAGTCTCTCCTACATCTATAAGAGAAATAGCTGAACTTGGGAGCTAGCAAATAGAAAAACGATACCAAGAACTTATTCCATTGAGTCATTCTACAGGAAGTGGAAGCAGATTTCAGCTCATCATTTCGAGGTGCAAGTCGAATAACCTATCGTTTCCAAGACTCTTACCGAGCACAAAAAAAACTGTTTTCTCCGGTTATCTGTGCAACTGCATAATGTTCTTCTTTCATAGAAAGCTGCGATAAGAATAGCGATTAGTGAAGTCAAAGAATCAGAAATCAATTGGTTTAACTGCATAAGAACACCGATTTACTGATTGTGATTGCGGTTTTTCTATTACCAATTCCAATGCTGTCATCCAACAAAGTATTTGCAATTACGTCAACAGATGGACAGCAGCATAACGGAGAGAAAAAAGATTGAACAAGTGTTGGAAAGTCACACTGGTGGGAGGAATAGTCTGTGCAACGAAAAAACAATGTAAACACCTCTATATATAACTCGCTAAGTGTGCCTTCTGGTATATGATCGATATGTCTGATGGGTGTGTTTGACCGGAAGTTCATGACTCCTATGTAATCAGAGCGTTCAAACTTCGAATTGATGCTGTGGCACGAAGGGAACGCCGATGTTAGGTGGCAGGAAGTGATAAGAACTATTGGGTGCTGATAGGGAGCCTTTAAAGAACAAGAGCCTTTGAATATGAGTAATCCCCTTCGCGTTTATAGTGAAATCTTGGCACTTTGGTAAGAGGTTTCGGATGGAAAGCAGCCTGGATTGTAAGTGACAGTAACTGGTGACTAGAGACAAAGCAGAGCAATAGATTCCAAAAAGACAGAAAAGTAGCAAGGAAAACTCAGCTTTCAACATCTACGGGCAAAGAGTTCACCCGTTCTGGATTGCGACCCAGAAGATATTTCCGAGACTATTACAGTGATAAATAACGCAAGAACTTGGATATCCGTGGCAGATACGAAAGATGCCCACCCAAAAACATGAACTCAAACGTCTGAATGCCTCAAGCACGTTCATCATTTGTACGGAAACGGTATAAACTTGCTGGAAAACACCTCATCTTTCCACCATTTTGCATGTTGCACCTTCTATGGAGTCGCGGAAAAGCTGCAGAGATCTCGACAATGACGGTCATTGCTCAAAAAACCTCGATGGAAAGAAGAAGTGAAGAGTGAAGAGTTTATAAAACTTCGCATCCGCTGATTTTCCCGTTTCTGTTGCGTTTTTTCGCAAGGATAGGCACTGAAAACTTTAGATACAGCTCCAAAACACGCAGAAGAACCGGTAGCACAAAGTATTTACCAGAATCGAGGGATCAGTTGACGATCTGGCTTAAACTTCTTCTTTTCGATCCTACATTCCTCTCTTACTTATAGCATGCTTCAGGAACGTGGACCCTTTCCCAAGAGGATGAATAAGCGACCGGTTCTTTCAACAGTTCGAAAGAAATAACGCTGGCATTTTGCCCACACACGAAGGTCCAACAGAAGATTCGAAATCCGAACTTCGGCAACGAAGCTAAGATGCGCTATCACTACACAGATGACACTTGAACAACAAAGAGAAATGAAAATCTGATGAGATGAAAACGCTATGCGATTTACTTATGGTTGTCTGATCGGAGCGGTGACAGAATGATGCTCAACCAAAAGCAACAGTCGCTCTCGCAATGGCAGTTGACTTTTCGCATGGTGGCCTCACGCAGAAGGGGGGTTATTTTGTATACTTTTTCAAAAAGGTTCCTATCCTTTCTGCGAAAAGTTCACTGGGCTACAACGACAAGCAGAAGGGCCGTACAACCCGAATTTCGCCGAAAAAAAAAAGATGACCAAATGAGGAGCTGTTATAGGGGAGTTATGTTATTTTCTCAAAAGGGATGAAAATGTACTAAAAATCGGCATATTTTTCTACAAACTTGTAAGTTTCTTTGGATTTTTTGAATTCTGGTGCGCTAGCGCTCCTCCCACACATTGTACCATAGCTGTTTTTGCTTATTTGATGCCCAGTTATTGCATGGATTTTCACGGCCCCTGAAAACTAATACTGTCGTACCCTCCTGCAACCTATGACGGATACAAACCCTGAAATCGCATTGTTCACACCAATTACGAGCTGTCAATCAACGCAATCACAAGCATCCAACATCTCCAGTTTAAATCTGGGACCATACAAAAACATGGTGCTTGCAACATCTGTGACGGCAATTGCGAGCTATTTTAGCCAAAGCAAGTGACGGTTAACAATGAAGAATTGCCCAACAACCCAATAAAAGAAACGTACCTATGAGCACTGTTGATGCATGAAGAGGTAATGAAATCCCGACAAATGGAGAGCAGATGTTCAGCAACCAATGAGGACAGAAAGGCAGAATACGAGCACCAAGCAGAAACATGAACAGCTGGTGCTGTTCCAACATAACCTATAATAAATTGGTGTTTCATGGTCGATTTGAATTCTTCGCTTCCTACTGCACCAAATAACCACATGCCAATTCAACTGATTCAAAATGTAGTTCTTCACCCTTCTCAACATTATATCTAACACGTTGGTCTTCTTAGAACCCGCAAGGAGTCACTTAGTAAGTATGAGTTGTAAATGTTGGACTTATGCCAAACGCTATTTCTTATGCAAAGTTTTCGAACTATGTGTCGCACGGTGTCTTTAAACTTGGTAATCTAGAAGAACTGAAATTGACAGTTCAAAGTCCCCAAAGAGATATCACTGCCAATAATTGAATATCATAAAAAGCTCTGGCCTATAACAGCAACGTCCAGGTGGTACGATATAGGTTACAAAGTCAAGTTCGGAAGAGTAGAGTACATGAGCATTTTGATAAAAACCAATGAAGAATGGTCATAGTACGTAACAAAGAGTAGTGAAGTGAAATGCGAGCGGAATGTCTTACCTTCCTTCGAAGAGCCAATAACCGT